GCTCGCGCTGCCTCCCCGGGGTCAGGGCTCCGCCGCGCTGGCCGGCAGGACGGGCGGTGTTATCAGACAGCCCAGCTGGCTGGGACGTGGCCCCCCAGCGCTGCTAAATCGGGGCCACTGGCTCCTGCCTCAGGAAGAGGGAAACGCAGGCAGGATGTCCTCTTCTCTTGCCGACAAGTCCTTTCCCATGAACCCCTGCTGACCTCGACGGCCACGTGGCGGGGCTCCCCCATTCGCCACCCATGCCTGCAGCTGCTCCTCAGGCCACCCACAACTTCGGCAAGGGCCGAGAGGGCGGGGGCGCCCTGGGGCGCGAAAGCCAGGGCCTGGGGGGTGGGCCTGCCTTCCGCTCGGCCTGTCAGCCTGGGCAGGCGCCGAACCTTCTCCAGCGATGAATGCCCGCACCTTCCTGCTCCCAGACTTTTCCCCTCCGCAGGACCAACCGGAAAACAAAACTGAGGCCCCAGAGGAAGCCAGTGTCTGAAAGGATCGAAGCTCAGGAATCCCTGGCTCCAGCTGGGGACCTCATGGCTGCGGCTGGTTCACAGATGGGTTCAGGGAATGTGAGAGGCTTTCTGGACCTCAGCAGGGCAGGCATCTCAGAGGGCAGTGGGGGAAATAGGCTAAGGCCTGGGGGTGGCAGGGGGTGGGTGGGCAGAAATCTGCCATGAACACCCAGCAACAGCGGAGGGGTGTCAGCTAGACATGAGAAGAATTTCCTCTCAAGCTGCAACATTGTTAATTTCCTTAAGGTCCCCGGATTTATTGGGAATTGGGATACTTTAGGCTCTGGCTTCTGATCTCATTCAATTGCTCCCAATGCCCCTTCTTGCTTATCTGGTTGAGTTTCATGAACTAGGGTCTCCAGAGAAATCTTGATGGAGGTCCCCCTCCACATTTGCTCCCCTGCCAGGGGTCCCTGTCTGGGTAAATGGTATGGGCCATTCTGTTGCTTAAATCAGGGACAGCCTCCCCAGCTCCAAGCCTAATCCATCCAGTTATCTCCTGCTTCCAGCTCTGATGGACCCTTGGGTCCATCCACTTGCAATACCTTCCGTCGTTCAGCTCTGCCTGTCTCATCTGGCCTTACTTCTCTAGCAGTACCTTCAAGGAATCTGACCAGGTGGCTGCCTGCTAGGAACCCACCTTTCCTAGTCTGCTGCAGGCTCCGGTCACTCTGCCCCCATCCCAGGTTCCAGCCTCATATGACTTGTCTGATATCCCTGTTTCTGGGTCTTTGTGGAGTTCTGTGACCTGTTTGGAATGCCCTTCCCTTGAGTTCTGCAGACCAGCACAAAGTATCCCTCCAGGAAGCCCTTGGTTGGAAGTGACATTTCCTTCCTGGGCAGGCCACAGTCACCAGCTGGACCCCACTTTCAACCCTGGGCTACAGATGTCTGATTCAATGTCTATGTTTCTGTCAGTCTGCTACTCAGGAAACCTCATAGGACAGGGCCAGGTCCAAGTCCTCCCTCGGTCCACCCTGGGAAGACACCATAGCTCAGGGCTTTCACAGAACTGCTATCCCGCGCAGGGTCTGGGTGCTACTGGCTGGGGTCATGGTGGGGTGGTACACTGAGGAGTTCATCAGCCAGACACACCGGGGGGGGGTCACACTGACCCTGGAGCACTGAGCCAGGGTGCGAGTGGGGGTGGGGAGGAAAGATCGCAGCCACCATGTGTCACCTCCCACTCATCCCCCACATCCGTGTACACACCTGAGTCTGGCCCAGGGCTGTGTAACCAAAGCAGTAGAGATCTGGGATGACCATGGCTGGGCTCAGTGCAAGGCAAGGCGAGTGCTCCACTGGCCGGAGCAGCCCAGCCCTCTCCTGCATGTATCTGATCAGGCTGCCCACTGGCCAGAGGCCCAAACAGCCTCTCTCTAGATCAGTGCTTCTCAACCTTCCTAATGCCACAACCCTTTAATACAGTTCCTCATGTTATGGTGACCCCCAACTATAAAATTATTTTTGTTTCTACTTCATAACTGTCATTTTGCTGCTGTTATGAATCGGGCGACCCCTGTGAAAGGGTCATTCGACCCCCAAAGGGGTCGTGACCCACAGGTTGAGAACCACTGCTCTAGACTGAGTCTCTTGAGGTTGACACCCTCCCCATAGGAATACTACTGGGCAAGTCTTTGTGGAATTGGACTAGGGACATAGCCAGAAAGTCCCAACTCAAGCCACAGCCTTGGCAACTATGCATGGGGAAACTGAGGTGCACAGCATACAAGGAAGGGTCCCTGACTGCAACAGGGGCATTCAGGGGCAGAGATGGTCTAGGACCAACAGCCCGCCTTTGACAGGGCAGTTTCAAGGTACGCTGCTTTTCCCGTGCCTGCTCCTGACTTCCCACTCAGCTGCACATATGCCTGACTGCACTCACTGGTTTATGCTGCTGCTCTCGAACCCCCATCAAGCAGGGAGCTCTGATCCTCTGGGGCCCAGCAGTGTGTGGGGCAAGGTGCAGGACTGAGGGAGGGCAGCAGAGGTGATGGGTCTCTAGGTCCCCATTATCATTTCCTCACCAGCTATGCCCTGGTCCAGTTGGGGTCACCTTTTTTCTGTGAGGCCCACGAGGTGACCCTCTTTCTTCCCTTCACAACCACACTCAGTGCAGCGCCCCATTTCACCTTCTTCACTCCTCAACACCCATACTGGTGCTGTCCATTGTGCCACCTTCTTGATTCAACTCCAGGACACACTTGCTAAGGAGTCCTGGGGGCACAGCAAGTGATGTGTTGGGCTACTAATTGCAAGGTCCGTAGTTTGAACCTGCCAGTCACTCAATGGGAGAAAGAGGAGGATTTCTGCTCTTGTAAAGATTGGCAGCCTTGTAAACCTAAAGGGGCAGTTCCACTTCATCCTCATGGGTTGCTATGAGTCTGATTTGACTGACGGCAGTGAGTGTGTGTGTGTGTGTGTGTGTGTTTGAGACACTTGCACGCTTTCTCTGACTCCCCCAGACACCTGCCATTCCTGCACTTCTAGCTCTGCTACGACCCTGCTTTGTGGCACTAAGGTGAAGACTGGCTTCTCCTCAGGGTGAATGTTTCACCCCCGTCTCTTTTCAAGCCCACCCCCATCTCTGATCCCCTGTCCTCAGGGTCCCATCTTGGACCCTTTATTCTGCTTCCTTTCTGGTTCCCCAGCTCAGCCTCTTTCCCGAGATGCAGAAATTTACTACTGTGCCTCTGATCTTAGCTATTTATTCAAGGTGTGTCTCCCACCCTGACCCCTGAAGTCCAACCCTGCCCCTCTTCAGTCAGGCACTTAATAAACATACTGAACCTAGCCTAGCCCTGGGCTGAGAGCAGTGGGAAGGGCAGCCTCATGTTCAGACTCACCTGGACTCTCCTTCTTAGGTTCCTCTCCACCCCACTCCTCTCCTCTCCTCAGCTCGGGAAGGCTCAGGTGGTGAGTAGAGAGCAGGGCTCTTTCCCCACAGACATGGCCTTTCTTACTACTGGCCTCCTGGGGACCTTGGAGAAGTTTCTTAATACCCTTGGTCTGAGCTGCTCCATCTGTTGAATGAGCCTAACGCTCCTTGTAAGGAATAAGCAAGGAGGATGCAATCCGAAAACTCCATGCTAAGGCCTGGAACCCCACCCACACTCAGACCTAGGACCATCCTGTAGATTCCAACCCTGGAGTATTGAATGCCTTTAATGTTCACTATCGTGAAGCTCCCCTGTCTCCTAACCACAATTTCCCACAACCTTCAGGCCCTTTCTCCTCCATTCCTTGATTGGACCACCAGGTCTCGCCTGATCTCCAGTTCTTTACCCAGGACAGCTCTAGCCATATTCCTTTTCTCTTCCTCATTCCTCACCCCCCCTCCTCCCCAAATCCCACAGGCCCCACTGGTATGGCTCTTAATCTTACCAGTGCCTTGCAACCAAACACAACTCCACCCACGTCTCTCCTGCATTTAAGACCCTTCTGAGGCAGCCAGTGCCTTATCTGCCAGGCGCCTTACTTGGCCTTCAAAGGGCTTTCCCTCTCAAATCCAGGGAGCCCTGGGTTTTTGTCTCGTCTGTGAAGCAGACACAACTTGAAATCCCAACTTGTCACTTGCGCCCGGATTGCGCCCGGTCCGCCCGACGGCGCCCACCCCTGCCAGCGCCGCCAGCGCCGGCAGTCAAGCTGGGGGAGGTGGACGCCCGCCCAGAGCGCCCTCTTGGGGGGACCTCCAGGTACGATCCCGAGCACAGAGGGGAGGTGTCGGGAAGTGCGCACCCAGGGCTGCGGCCAGGCCGGGATTGGCGCTCCGCGCCCAGGGCACGATCTGGGTGCCCGTGGGTTTGCAGGGCCGAGTGTAGTGGAGCGGCGACTCCTCGGGGAAACGGTCTGAGGGAATGTGGGATCCAGGCTTTAGATGCAGAGTGACAGGCCGAGGCTGCAGGGGAGCCACCGACCGGGGACAGGTCCGGGGAACCCGGGGGTGATCGCAGCACTGCGACGCTGCACGGTAGCCTGTCCCTGACCCGGCTGCAGTCCTCGCCCGCCCTTTCCTCATCCTGGCAGTGCCGGCGCTCAGACCCCGGCACTCCGTCCACTGCCTGGACCCCGGGCGGCTAGCCCTGCCTCCCCAGGCACCCCAGGCTTCCAGTGACCCCGTCGCCCTCCCGTTCCGCCGCCGCCCAGGGCTTCTCGGGGCTCCCTCCTGAGCGGTCCAGTCTGCCTCCCTCCGCGCCCGTCGGGGCGCCCCCACCGCACGCCGGGTTGGGCTCGCGCTCACCTTGGAGGAGTCCCAGGCAGAGCCACGGGCGCAGGCACAGCGCGGCGCTCAGAGGCATCTCCGGCCGCTGCGCGCGGGTCGACCGCCGGCCGC